CTGCGCCGGAGTGACCTAGGTGGGTTTCTGGTTCTCCAGTCACACTCCGAAAAACCTGAGTAATATACCCCTCGGGTAGGTAAGATGGCGTCATAGCCTGGGAGGACAAGCGGATGGCTCCCCGCTATGGGGGCGTGGATTGTTTTGGGTAGGGAATCTCCCCCTGGCAATTGTAGTGTTAAGCATTAAGTATGTTGGTTTTTTTATGAATAAAACAAAAATATTTTCATGTTGTATTACCCCGTGTTTTGCTCGTTTGGGGTCAAGTTTGGCATGTTTAATACATGTTTTTAGATTAGGATGTTGTACGGCCACAAGGGAGGGTAAAGCATAATTTTTTTTTCCCCCTCTATCCGGTTGTGGGTAAGATATTTCACTGGGTTTATTTCAATTGGTCCTGGGTTTTTTAAAACGGGGGGGAATGTAGTAGGAGTTGCCCCCACCCCCATACAAGCCTCCTACCACAAGAGGGCGCCATTGGCCTTCTCGCACTGGGACGACAAGCTCGTACAAGCCTCCTACCACAAGAGGGCGACATTGGCCTTGACTAAGTGGGACAGGAGATTGAGAACTGACACAGACTGACTGGTACACGTTGAGATATACTCCGAGTAACTAGACCGGTAAGTGAACGTTCTTTGTCTCATTTGTAGCATTTAAGTATTGTAACTACGTAGCCTATGATCCATAGGTCAGGGCTACTTCAGTAGGGTCGGCTGAAAAAGAGGAGCCGACCCTACCCAAATCAGAGGCTAACGAACGAAAGAGACAGCTAGATCTAAATTTAGGCCTATAGAGTCTCCGGTTTGCGGCATAGCCCGGTTTGCGGCCAGGGGTATCACTTTTCAAAATAAAATCAAAATGACTCGATAATAATCATTGAAACCTACCGTGGATTCCCCGGTAAGTTCTGCGCTGCCGAAAACGTCCGTAGCAGATGCTCTTGTCGGTACGGAGTATCCGTCAGCGATGTCGGAAATCTACGGCACCAGTCGGCGATGAAAATTCCAGCAGGTGCTTACTTTTAAGTTAAGAGATCGAGGCATGACTAGATCAATATTGTAGCTCTATTTGTCAGATATTTGTCCGATTGGAGGTGAAATTTGATGTTTTTGTGGAAGTATGATGGCTGTGGTCTGTCTCCTATCGCAGATATTTTGATTGTGCCACCGCATGGCCAGTTGCATGGGGTGGCCGCAAACCGGCACGTAATTACGTGATTTTCTGGTTTGCGGCGGGGGTGTTAATACACACATAACATGCGGGATCGTGTATGATGGTATGTGTGCTGATGTGTGTACCCGCTGTGACCCGATAGTTTCTAGTAGTACGTACCCCCGTATGGGATGATCCATTCAGTAAAAAGGTGAAATTGTTTAAAACTTGTAAAATTTACCGTAGCAACAGATAAACATGAGAATTTGGGTTACCCGTAGTAATTTGGTATATGCTTTGATCGTGACGTAGCGCATAAAGCTTTGTGACGTACGCGTGCCGCAAACCGGGTTACGCACGGCCGCAAACCGGGCAACTTTTACGTCTTCTAAAGTGGACAGTACTGACCACGCTGTGGGTCAGTTACGTTATTTGTGCCTTCTATTTAATAACTAAATATATGAACTCTCTATTGACGGTATTGAAGTATTCTGTGAGTAATTGCATCAAAAATAAAATCGGCAATTCCCACTGGACGGCCGCACACCGGAGCCGCTACTCTAGTGCTCGTCCACTTTTAGGCAACAGCGTCTCGAAAATCCACTATAACAGTAGTTTCTACGTCTAGCAATGATAGTTTTAAGTTGGTGTTAAGGTGGTATATGCGTACGAAAGTACAAGAGTGCCAAGAAAAAAATTACCCGGTAAGAAATTGCTCAATCTCAGGAAACGAAAATGTTAACCGACAATTATTTGCACGTATGGGACTGGTCTGCAACACTGTGAACATTTACCAAGTTTTCCCCAAATTTATTCAGTTAAAAGCATTTTAGATTATCACCAGTACAGCAACAGGAAAGTAACAACAATACTTTATTAGCTGGTGTAACTTTCATGAGCGCTTATCCATTCAAAAGAGTGTAAATTGTTATAAAATATAGAAATTCAAATGCAAAACTTACCGTTCACTCTCCGCGGACAGTCGATTTAACTAAAAAGTGACGTCACGCGAAGTTAGGCCGAACTATGACGTATTTAAACCTGCCCTCTGAGCCGCCTAAAGTTAGGCCGAACTATGACGTATTTAAGCCTGGCTTATCTTTAGGCCACCTTCGAGAATAGCAAAAAAGATAGTCCATGGTTTAAACCAGGTTTAGGCCACTGATTTAACTTAGGCCGCTTTCGAGAATACCACCCTAGTTTGCAGTGGCGGATCCAGGGGGGGGGGCCAGGGGGCCCGGCCCCCCCCCCCCCCCTCTTGAGAAAAAAATCATGTAAAATCACGTGATTTTTACCTTTTTGGGGGGTTGGGCCCCCCCCCCCCCCCCCTGGCGCTCAAGGGGGGGGGGGGGGTGCAAATTGAATTTTTTTTTGAGGATCAAAAAAAATAAAAATATGCTCACTACCCCCCCCCCCCTTTTTGGGGGTTGGGCCCCCCCCCCCCCCCCCTGGCGCTCAAGGGGGGGGGGGTGCAAACCCGGGGGGGGGGGGTACTCAGATTATAGTCGGACGGGGGTGTGCGGCTGAGACCTCCGAACCCATACCCACATCTAAGGGTCCTTTTGCTGAAATAGGTACCCATGTCTAAGGATTTTTTATGAAAAATGGACCCATGTCTAAGGATTTCAAACTTCAAATATTACATTTTTTAAGCTGTAATAATACACTTCAGCAAAGCATATAGAGAGTCAACGCTAATGCGTATTGACCTGTAATACTGCACTACGTGTTAATAGGCGGCATTTAAATACATGAATAGTCACTACACTCATAACATACAGATGCACACAATTATGCCGATGCGGCTGATCGGAAAGTTTGACAGTGGGCTCACAATTTGATTTTTTAAATTATTCTTTCTAACATCGGAAAGTTAAAAAAATGTATTTTACTGCTATTTAGGTGTCATCAATCGTAACTAAAGTATCGATTTTGAGTGAAATTGGTTGAGTTTTGTACAGTGATGTTTGAAATGTTGAGAATCAATAGCACAGCTTTTAATACACAGCCAGGATAGTAATGCACATATGTGTGTAATAATACAATGGCCAATCATTTTGCAGTTTCTCGATAAAATTCTTTATTAGTAAACTGTACCATACTACATTTAGTTTACAAGTAGTTTACACACATAAAGATGAAAACACCATGCAACATAATTATACTGTGCTAGCACCTCTAGCATCCTTTTTAATTGAAGGACTTTTCCTGTTTTAATTAACGTATCCGTAGATCTACACGAGCTCTCAAGCATCGGCTATATAGCTCCCTGCTTGAGCCGCGCTGCTGCCCGGCTGCTGGGCAGAGGGTACGCAGGGTATAGTTGCCGATCATATAATTTCAGCATGCATGCGAAGCGCTACAAGTTCCCGGGGGTACAACCCCTATACGGGCGGATACCATACCTAGCGCGCATTATGCCCGGTATAGGGCCCATGGGGTCCTGATATATGTGGTACCCCGGGGTCTAGTTGAGTTTACGAGCTACGTACACCCACTGACCTAGAGGTCAGTGCGTACACCTCGTACACTGGAAATGCAATCACCGAAGGATTCCCCAATATTGCCCCGGATTTATTTTGAGATGGGAGAGATTTAGGCATTTACAATAGGACTCTTTAGGAGCAAATCCAAAAATTCCCGGAGAAAATGAGGGAGAAAAGAGGGGAAAGGAATAAATGAAAAAAGGGACCCATGTCTAAGGATTTTTTTTATGAAAAGGGGACCCATGTCTAAGGATCTTTCCTGAAAAAGTCACCCTTCCGAGCGGCACATCCCCGTATACCCAATATACGTGAGTACCCCCCCCCCCCCCCGGGGGTGCAAATTGAATTTTTTTTTGAGGATCAAAACAAATAAAAATATGCTCACTACCCCCCCCCCCCCCCCCCAAAAAAACACACACAAAAAGCTTGTTAAGTAAAATTTTAAAATCTAAATTTCAATGAGCAAATTGTAATGCATGATAATGCCTGCTTTGGGATCTCATATATTCAAATGATAGTGTTAATGATGATAAGTTAGAATAAACTACAATATCTGTACATTAATCGTTTTAATGAATTATGAGGAGAAATACAATGTATTTGGTATCTTCCGTCTCGGCTATATACAAAATGTGTGTACCATTGTAAGGTGATTACAGAATTAGTATTAAAATGCATTATAATCATTTCAAATTTGATCTAATTTAGTATAATTTTTGGTTTATTTTACAGAAAAGGGACTATTACCAAACTCACTTCAAAACTGATTTATATGCAGCAGTGATCGATGTACATTTTTTTTACCTTGTATATTTTTCTTTCTTTTTTAATGTGGAAAATAAAATAAATGAAATGAAATGAAATGGCCACATTCAAAATCTTTAAGTGTAGTGTGGATGAGCGCGGCCAGACCACCATGCATGATGCAGGCATGTATAGCGCATTATGCCAATATTTTAATGCTCAACCCGTTTCAACGCAGTTGGCCCTATATCATCCAAACTTAGATCAATCCTGAAAATCCATTGAAAAGTTAAATCTTTTTGTTTTTTAACGAGAATTTAACTCTCATCTCCTTGGCAATGTACACAAAATCGTTGTTCCTGGTTGTCCCCCTTCTTTTTTGACAAAACATGGGGGCATTTGATATGAACCCCCCCCCCCCCCCCCCCCCCACCTAGGAAAAATCGTGGGGGGACGTTTCCCACCTGTCCCCCCTAGATTGACGCCCATGTTATTGCATATTTAATATATAAGCCCGACCATCTGTCATCAAACCACAACCATCAACCATATCCATCCTGTGAACTTCGACAACAAAAACAAAATATTCGACAGAAAGTTCTTGGGTTATGTCATTCAAGAGAAGTCGTCGTACAAACACACACTCATCGTCTTAACTTGTCATCTAAAGTCTGAAATAGCAAGATTAATCTATATTTGTTGAGATGATTCGTGCGTCATGTCTCCTGCTTCTAGTCCTAGTCTCGCTAGGTTTAGCCGACGAGCCTGAGGGCATGTTGGACGGGATGCCGTCTGGAGCACCAGATCGGGGTCGTCCCAAGTTAGATATATTTGCTCAGGGACTGACAGAGGACGAGAAAGCAGCAATCCTGGCCCTACACAACAAGGATCGTGGTGAGGTGTCTCCTTCGGCCTCCAACATGGGTGAACTCGTAAGTTTTTTTTCCCTTCGTAAGACTTGCAGTTTACTTGTTCACAGCCTCTTCTTTTTCTTGTTTCTTGTTTTTACTGATGACTTTTTTTTATTTGGTTCTGGCGAATCAAATTAGCAATAATTTCATGACTTTAAATCTCAAAGAAAACAATCATTATTATCGATAACTGTAAATTTAGGAGTACAATACAGGTACCTGCGGGAATCTAAACAGGGGAACATTTTAGGACCCTTACTGAAAATATTTCAGATGCCATAAAGTTCAGTACCATTTTAAAGAATGCTGACGATACCTGCATAATTATGCTATATTTCAGATAACACAAATGATTTATTTTTAAGTCGTTATTTGCAGGTGGTTGACGTGAATGTTATTGAATCCTAAAAAAATACGGGTTTGTTTATTTTAATCTAGTGCTCAGTGGTAGGATCACATTACGATTAGAAGTTGATAAACGCAAATATCGGATAATGATTTTCACTTCGTCACTTAGTTGGAATATCTAAATCAAATTCGACGAGACAAAAGAAAAGAAAACTTTGTAGGCTAACGTTTTTAAACTGTTGTAAATGTATATCACACTGAATACTCTCCCCCCCCCCCCCCCAGGGGGGGGGGGGGTACTCAAATATAAAGACAAACAGGGGTGAGCCGCTCTAATAGGTAACTTTTTACATGCAAAAATCCCTAAACACTATGGGTCCCACTTTTAACAAAAATACCTTCTCGCCTCTCATTGCCCTTTTTTCTTCTGATAACTGCCTCTTTTCTTGTTTGATAAGTGAGACCGCTTCCCTTTCTCATAAATGCCCCTTTTCACACGTCTGATAAATGCCTCTACTAAAATATCAAAGGGGTCCCTTTCCTTTTGACAGGTGCCCATTTTTAACTCAGGTGATTGCCCCTTTTCAGGTACAAGAAATGCCTTTACCACCTCCGATAAGTGCTTCTTCACCTGTTATGATTGCCTCTTTTAAAATATGAGATGCATCCCTCTTAATTTGACAGTTTTTTATGTGCCTCTTTTCATCTCTGGTGAGTGCCCTTATCAAAATTTTAAGAGGTGCCCCCTTAAACTTTGGAATAAGTGCCCCTTTTCATCACTAATAAGTGCCCTTTTTTGACACGTTCCTCTATCCTTTTTAATACGTGCCGTTTTTCTTCTGATAACCCCTTGTAAGCTTTTATAATTTTTGGTCAGTGCCCCTTATCAGGTGCGAGTAGTGCCACATTTTCACCTCTGGTAATTCCGATTTTTACTTTGTCACGTGCTCCTTTTTTTCTTCTAATTGTTGTCCTTTTAACTTTGGATATGTGCCCCCTTTTCCTTTCACCATAAAATGTGCTCCAAATATATAGGAACTACGAGCAACCTTTTCTTCAACTTACCAAAAGCTCGCTCGCTGCGCTTGCTGGCATTTTATGTTATTATGATTTTGTTACTTATCAAAGATCTTTATAGTCTTTCATGATTAGTATTATTTTGTCCTCTTTATATAATGTATTTTTTTGAAATGCAACCGCTCACAAATCTAAAAAGATTTAATCACAATGAACGGGTATAAGGACCTACCAATGCATAACAATTATATATTTTCGCTTTAAAGGTTTCCCTTGTAGGTGCCCCTTTTTTCTCCAGAAAGTGCCCCTTTTTGTTGGTGCCCCCCCTACTTTTAAAGACACTACGCCGCCCCGGGATTTAAATGGAAATTTGATGACAGCATAACATGTTGATGTGACCTGAGCATCGCAAGATTTAATTCGATACAGTTTCAGTTATTTACCATTTTAAATCACAAGTACATACTAGGTAAAATAACAGCAATAAAATCAGAATATGAAATGGTAGGATAATGAAAGGCGAAGTGCTTGTGGCCAGGGTCCCAATTGTTTTAACTCATAGCCTGCCATAAGGCTGCATGCACGCTATCGCTATGCTGCTTCGTACATGCGAGAGAGCTACCTATTGAGTGCCATGTGCGTGCAATGCAGCATTCGTAATAGCAGTTATCGTTCATGCTCATTGGACTGTGATGTATGTGTTTGCACTCGCCATTCATAGAACCATCGCGTTGATCAGATTATCTCCAAAAGAACCTGGCACGGGGGGATTTGGGGCTTGGCACAATGGGGATTAGCCCTGTGGCATGATAAGAGTTAAACAGAATCATAATGAAGAACATAACATAGATGATTATTATCTGTGTCAAGTCATTATGTATGGAAATTATTTCTTTAATTATTTGTATATGATATATGGATATAGTGTATATGATGGAATTTGTTTTGAAAATAAAGAACCCTGTGGAAGGGGAAGAAAAACAAATAGTAATATAATATTCGTTTTCAATCCACCAGCAATGGAACGACGAATTAGCGAAGGATGCCCAGGACTGGGCCGACCAATGCATCTACAAGCACAACGGATATAGGGATCGCAGAACAAGCCAATGGCGTTGGGTTGGCCAGAATATTGCGGAAGGAACAATAGGATTCTTTTCTGTCCTCACTTTCGTAGATTGGTGGAACAGCGAAAAGGACCTCTACAATTATGCCGACCGCACATGTGAACCGGGCAAAGAGTGTGGCCATTATACACAGGTATGAAAAATGCAAATCTCTAATATTATTTTTAAAAGAGTGTCCTTAGATTTACATAATTTAGGGGCCGAACTAGGATTTCGCGTGGGGGGGGGGGGGGGTGAAATGTGTTAAAATAATAATAACTACGAATCTAATAGATAGCCTTTTCTTATCAAGATAATGACTTGCAGTTTGACTTTTTCCTTTAACTCTGTCGTCGCATGTAGTGCACTGAAAAGATTTGGTAAATCCATGGGCGCCTCAACATGCATTAAAGAGTAATTTTTCTATATTATGATATACCGCATACCACGATTCTCTGATTGGTAAAAACTGCTGGTATAAAATTCACTACTGACCGCTAGGCAGTGTAGCAAAAATATTGACTCGGCGTATTCCAACTAGCGATCAAAGGGGGTGTAGCATATGGCAAATACTTGTTAACGCCATCAACGACTTCTTGTGGACAGCTGCACGTAAACGAATGGACTTGATTAACGGTCAGCGCGCGCAAGCGTTCTCCCCACGCTTCAGCCTCGTTAATGTTGCGTTCGCGTCGTCCGTAGTCATACCCGATTGCCCCCAAGTCAGGCCACGGGAAATTTCACACCTGGTTCAGATAACCCGGGCTATCCTTAGCCCGGGCTAAGAACCGGGCTAAGGATAGCCCGGGCTAAGAAATTTGTTTTCACACCTGGTAAATTACCCCAGGGTTAACAGCTAGCAATTGGGGGGGGGGGTAAAGCGCCGCTAGCGCCGCAATTCCTGCGTTAACCATTCTCGGGAGCAGGGCCAGCTTAGCCCGGGAACTTGCGGAGCTAACTCACTTTCGAAAATCAGGTGTGAAAAACCCTCTTAGCCCCCCCCCCCCCCCCAAAAAAAATCAGGTGTGAAAACGGAATACTGTCTCAAATTCAATTTATAAAACGGTATACTGTCTCTACTCAATTTATCAAACAATACAAAATGTATCTGTAATAAATACACAGATTAGAAAGTGAAAAAGGGAGATGCCAGCATGATATCATTGACGACGATTACATGTTTAGGTAAAACAATTACCTAACATCGTGTTCTGAGGTCATATTTATTGCGATTTTATAAACTTTTATTCACAAGCGTGTTGTTGAATTATTATTCGATTGATAAGGTATGTGTGGATCTGTGTAAGGTTAACTATTTTTTTATATTTTTTTTTAAGGGGTTGTTATTTGTTATTTGTTATTGTCATGTCTGTTCCGATTTAGGTTCTTTTTTTTTACGACTATATGTTTGTATGATCTATTTTTTCTCACAATAACAGACGTATGCTTTGTCTATACCAAAGGAAACATCTTAAAAAAATCATTGTGGAAGTAGGACTTCATGTGCATTTATAAAATTATCAAATTTAAGAGATTATTTGTATTTATTAGTATAATTGTATTAAGTGTTATCATTTTAATTTTACTCTATTTTGTATCTTAGTTGTCCAATTAATGTCTTCGATTTTCTTTGTTGAGAGAAAAAGAACAAAATAACATTCCAAATCAACAATAATATCAACAAAATCCTCCCCCCCCCCCCTCCCCTAATAAAAAAACACCGTGACAGCCACTGAGGAATGGGCAACTCTCTTTGCAAGCACAGTGTGCGTTTATGTGTGTATGTGTATGTGTGTGAGTTTGTGTATGTGTAATATGGACAAAGGTGTGAATTGATACTTGATTTCTGATGTATTTCTCTATAGTTTGTATTTTTAGGTTTTCATTTCTTGATGAAGGATATAAATCAAATGTGCCACGCACTCTTTTCGAGGCACCTGTAAAGTGAGGGATCTTCGGTGACTGGTCCCTTGAAACTAGCGCTAAGCCGGTCACAGAGAATTTATAATTTCAACTGAAGCCTCTTATTGCATGGTATATTTTATTTTGTATGGACATATGGTCTATGATTGGAACGATGGATGCGGTTTCAAACAGCGTTTGTGTATTAAGTGGATTTACCATATTTAGATTCTGAATATTGACAGCGAATTGAATCATGTTGAAAAGGATGAAGGTCATGTTTTTACACGAAAATAATTATTGTCAAGTAATTTATTCTCTCTCTCTCTCTTTCTTGCAAAATGAAAATATGAATATAACCTTGGGCTTTGATTACAACAAAATGAACATTTTATCAAATGTTCATTCGAGAAGGATACGAATGCAATTATGTTGAAATGTGACATGGTTTTTATAGAGCGATAATAAATCAATTCTTGGACATTGATTGATTCGTTCAATTTTACATGAGTGGTGGCTTGTCGGTTACAAACGGCAGGCTTCGATATCTACTTAATCTATCAAACAATTTAAAATCTAGCTGTAGTAGATACACAGAAAAGAAAATTAAAAAGGGAGATGTCAGAATGATATCGTTGACGATGATTACAATTTTGAATTTAAAACGTGAATTAACCACGTGTTCTGATGTCATGTTAATGGTGATTTTATAAAGTTTTTTCCATCAGCGTGTTGCTGAACAATTTGTTCAATTTATAATGTGTGTGTTGATCTGTGTAAGGTATAATATTTGTTTTGATAATTTTTTTGAAGAGGGGGTGGATAAGGAGAGTTTGTGAGAAAAAGTTAGAAGGAGGGCAGGGGAACCATACATCTCTCGTCTAATTTTATTCCTCTTTAAAAATTGTCATTTCTGTTACGATTTAGGTTCTTTTCTTTTTTTAACGACTATATGTTTCTATGATCTAGTTTTTTTCAGAAGTAAGCTTTGTCTATACTCAAGGAAATGTAATAAGAATTCATTGTGAAAGAAGGACCTCCTGTGATTTCATAAAAGTATCAAATATAAGCTATTATTTTCATTTATTAGTATAATTGTATTAAGTCTTATCATTTCAATTTTACTCAATTTTGTATCTTTTATACTCAATTGTGCAATTAATGTATTCGAAATTATTTGTTGAGATAACAAAGGAAAATAAAATGAAAATCGAAATCATCAATAAAATACCCCCCCCCCCTCCCCTAATAAAAAAACACCGTGACAGCCACTGAGGAATGGGCAACTCTCTTTGCAAGCACAGTGTGCGTTTATGTGTGTATGTATGTGAGTGTGTGTGTGTGTATGTGTAATATGGACAAAAGTGTGAATTGATACTTGATTTCTGATGTATTTCTCTATAGTTTGTATTTTTAGGTTTTCATTTCTTGATGAAGGATATAAATCAAATGTGCCACGCACTCTTTTCGAGGCACCTGTAAAGTGAGGGATCTTCGGTGACTGGTCCCTTGAAACTAGCGCTAAGCCGGTCACAGAGAATTTATAATTTCAACTGAAGCCTCTTATTGCATGGTATATTTTATTTTGTATGGACATATGGTCTATGATTGGAATGATGGATGCGGTTATAAACAGCGTTTGTGTATTAAGTGGATTTACCATATTTAGATTCTGAATATTGGCAGCGAATTGAATCATATTGAAAAGGATGAAGGTCATGTTTTTACACGACAATTTATTGTCAAGTAATTTATTCTCTCTCTCTCTCTCTCTCTTTCTTGCAAAATGAAAATATGAATATAATCTTGGGCTTTGATTACATCAAAGTGAACATTTTATCAAATGTTCATTCGAGAAGGATACGAACGCAATTATGTTAAAATGTGACATGGTTTTTATAGAGCGATAATAAATCAATTCTTGGACATTGATTGATTCGTTCAATTTTACATGAGTGGTGGCTTGTCGGTTACAAACGGCAGGCTTCGATATCTACTTAATCTATCAAACAATTTAAAATCTAGCTGTAGTAAATACACAGAAAAGAAAATTAAAAAGGGAGATGTCAGAATGATATCGTTGACGATGATTACAATTTTGAATTTAAAACATGAACTAACCACGTGTTCTGATGTCATGTTAATGGTGATTTTATAAAGTTTTTTCCATCAGCGTGTTGCTGAACAATTTGTTCAATTTATAATGTGTGTGTTGATCTGTGTAAGGTATAATATTTGTTTTGATAATTTTTTTGAAGAGGGGGTGGATAAGGAGAGTTTGTGAGAAAAAGTTAGAAGGAGGGCAGGGGAACCATACATCTCTCGTCTAATTTTATTCCTCTTTAAAAATTGTCATTTCTGTTACGATTTAGGTTCTTTTCTTTTTTTAACGACTATATGTTTCTATGATCTAGTTTTTTTCAGAAGTAAGCTTTGTCTATACTCAAGGAAATGTAATAAGAATTCATTGTGAAAGAAGGACCTCCTGTGATTTCATAAAAGTATCAAATATAAGCTATTATTTTCATTTATTAGTATAATTGTATTAAGTCTTATCATTTCAATTTTACTCAATTTTGTATCTTTTATACTCAATTGTGCAATTAATGTATTCGAAATTATTTGTTGAGATAACAAAGGAAAATAAAATGAAAATCGAAATCATCAATAACATACCCCCCCCCCCCCCCCCACTAAAAACACACAGTCGTTGACGAATGGGTGATTCTCTTTGCAAGCTGGCTGGAGTGATGGATGCGGTTGTTTTTTTGAAGTTGGATCTACCATATTTAGATTCTGAATATCGGCAGCGAATTGAATCGTATTGAAAAGGATGCAATTCATGGTTGTACACGAGAATGTTCAGTCAATATATTCTTGCATCAATAAAATATGAATACAAGCTCTGGCCTACTGAGACTACTATCACAGGGGGAGGAGAGAGAATCTCTCCCACTTTGCTTGCCAATCAGAGTTGTCACACATTCCCTCTCTTAGAACGAAGGTCTTGTTCACATTTATAAACCACTTGGTATACCGTGTTTAAACTTCGCTACAGTAAGTCCAAGCAAGTGACTACAGGCTTGTTCACACCCTAGTTGTGAAATGGTATCCACACACACGCACACACACACACACACGCATACACAGACACACACGCACTGCGATTTCATGAGACGTTCATTCATATCATAAACATAATCCTATTCTTCTACCGATTCTATACCTTCAAAAGTGTTTAGAAAATATTGAAGTAGTATACACACTTATGCACTTGCAAAACTAATCAATTCGTTATACTGTTGAATAACAATTTACCTGCGATATATGTATCTGAACACTAAAGACAAGTATATCAGCATTAACACACTCATACATATCCTTGGATGCACATTTAAATTCAACGCCTATGTACAATCTCATTAGGAGATTTGCTACACTACGCGGCCGATGATCTAATAACACATAGTCAATGAAATATTTGGACATTGAAAAAAATCCAACCCTCCTTTTACATAACACGTACAAGTAGAAACCATAATGGCAGGTTTTTCAGTCTTCACCTAAAATCGAAATTTTGACCACGATCCCGTCTTCTGATCAAACATGTTATCGTAGTACATTCGTAGGGTAAGTTCTAAGCTACAAAATAATTAAATGTGGGAGACATCAGATTAGGGATGGACGAGATAAATTTAAAACAACAACGGCACATATTACCTAATCAAAACAAAATCATTAATTTTCATTTAAATGGCACTATGTTGACATCAGAGCATTCTGAAAGCAAACTTGATACATGAAATAGAACCTTCGATTCATACCCTATCAGGACATGAACGAAAAATTGGGGGCCACTAGCCCTTCAGAAGGGTTATACGGATTCAAAATATGTACTTTTTGACCACTTTTGGGGTTTTTTTTTTTTGCATTTGCACGCGATCACCAATTTTGAGGTTTAACTAACGTTTTTTAGATAAATGTAGGTCAATAATGGCTAAAAAAGTGATTTCATATTGTTAAGAATAGTATCAGCAACACAAAACAAGTGACGGCAGACGCGAAAACACACGCGGATGCGTCCGCGCGCGCAAAATTGTGAAATGTTCAAAAAGGTCAGAAACACTGAAACGTGGTCCACTAAGCAATTTGACCAATTTGTTTATTATTGACTTACGCGTACGCCATGACGTGCGCACGGACATGGGTGTTACCAAAACTTCACCCATGATATCAAGTTCATGCATATCAATAAGAAATATCAATGTATGACTGACGGAAATATGGTCAATATTAGAAATTAACAAAATGGCGGCAAGGTGGCAGAAATCAAAATCGCTACAGATCACCTTTAACAAGTTTTTAACACAACTTAAATGAACCGTCGCGGTTTTCCTCGGTATGTGTGAACAATTTTGGTAAATTTCCCAACAATAATTAATACTTTTTTTACGGAATATTTTTATATAATGTTCCTTTTGAAAATATATGCGCGGAATGTGGTCTATATAACAAATAGTGACTTTCGTGCCCTAGGACACAGACTAGTTCGCGATCACATCGGGCAATAATTTCAATCGTGCCCCTCAAAGCAGTTAATATAAAATCATGCGAAAGGAAGTATTATGGATCATTTGACAGTAACAGCAGAAAGTTCATTTTAATATTTGTTGTTGTCTCTTCTGTTCTTTCCATTGTCTTTTATGCTCTTTATGTACCTGCTTCTTTATAATTATGTTACTGTGTATTATTCTATTCATCTGTATTTCTTTTTCTCTCCCTCTGTCTCTCTCTCTCTCTCTCTATTTCTCTCTTCCTCTCTTCTCTCTTCTTATATTCTTCTCTCCCTCTCTCTCTCTCTCTCTCTCTCTCTTGCTGTCTCTCTCTCTCTCTCTATTTCTATTTTCCTCTCTTCTCTCTTCTTATATTCTTTTCTCTCTCTGTCTTTCTCCTCTGTCTGTCTGTCTCTCTCTCTCTCTCTCCCTCTCTATTTCTCTCTTCATCTCTTCTCTCTTCTCATATTCTTATCTCTCTCTCTCTCTCGCTGTCTCTCTCTCTCTATTTCTCTCTTTCTCTCTTCTTATGTTCTTTTCTCTCTTCCTCTCTTCTCTCTTCCTATATTCTTCTCTCTCTCTCTCTCTCTCTCTATTTCTCTATTTCTCTCTTTCTCTATTCTCTCTTCTTATGTTCTTTTCTCTCTCTCTCTCTCTCTCTCGCTGTCTCTCTCTCTTTCTCTATTTCTCTATTCCTCTCTTCGATTTTCTCCCCCCCCCCCACCTCTCTAATCCATATATTTAGATCGTGTGGGCTCATACTCGGTACGTCGGATGCGCTCTGAAGAGATGTGATTGGCAACGATTTGATTATTTTGTCTGCAACTATGGCCCCACGTAAGATATAGTTGTTGCCATTACACATTATATACATGTTATACAATTATAATTTAATTATTTATTTTCATCCTATTAACTCCTTTGAACTGTTGCTCGGTGCAACGCACACAGTTTCAAGTTCACCTCGGGCAATAGTATACAGATATACACTGAGTTAAATGCTCGGTGTAGAAATGTCAGAGGTAAAACTGTCAGAGGTAAAAGATATGAAAATAAAAGCATGCTACAGGTTGAATAATAGGCTTATAGGAAAAGAATAACGAAGGATTTTCTGCAGTCGTTATTTCAGTGCTGCTTACTTCTTTCTTTAACTTGTATGTACCTTTCGGCCCAAAAGTGTGACTTTTTGCCCAATTATTGTCGAGGGGAGGCGGGGGGGGGGGGCTCCTCCCTCCCCCGGCTTGTTCATCAAAGCAATGCATTACAGACTACATCTTTCAAGCCTCAAAAACAAATAAAATTTTCACTTCTGTTGCTCCTTCCTACTCTATTTTGGACCCAAACACTATCATAATCATTATTTTGATTAGCTCAAGGTGAGCTATCGCCGCCCGTCTCCGCCCCGTCGTCCGTAAACCTTTTACAATTCCATCTTCTTTTTGAAAACGCATGGTCATATTTTAACCAAACTTGGCAGGAATCGTCCTTAGGGGGTAAGGGATCCAAAGTTATTATAATGGTAAACATGGCCCCCATGGGAATCCAAGGGGAGGGCCCGAAAGGGCCCAAACTATGTATGTTTCAAACAACTTCTCCAGATCCAAAAATGGAACAGTCAAGTTATATTGCTAGTAGATACCTTCTGAAAGGTACTATTTCCCATTTGCAAGCCCCGAAAATAAAAAGGTTAAATTACAACTGCATTTGAAATATAATACTACACTGTCGCTCATATAGTTGGAATATTTTTTTTTTACCCCAATTTATGGAATTGTTTGACAATGATTTATTCCTAATAGATCTAGATAATAGTATACATTCTCAGATTTTAATGAATAATAATTTGCCAGTGGTTAATTTGCGTGACTGCTAATGCATATGTATGCTACTATGCTTATCAACTAGGGGACCTACGCCCGTAAGTCATAAATGACAGTAATGAGGATTAATGCCCCAGAAAAGGGCACAAATATAGCACATCGACACGGTTTTGATCCTGGGGCCTCACAGTTACGAGGCCATTGCATTGTCACTGAACCATGACTGTACGCAGCGGGGGCTAGAGTAGGGGGCAGTTCCCACAAATAAAAAATAAAAAATAAAATGCAATAATTATCAATAATTCATTGAATTTCCCCCGGTCCCCAACAGAAAAAAAAATCTTCTGCGTGCCCATGCCTTGAGCCATAATGCATGGCCGTACAGAGGATTTAGTTTATGTTGGGGACCGGGGTTAAATGCAATGAATTATTGATAATTTATTGCATTTGCTTTGGGTTTTTTTATAGTCTAGAAGGTAAACGGGTTTCCTTGCATAATTTGAATACTAGGACACGGCTTAATTAAGTTTAAATGTCACAGATAGGACATACGTGATATATTCATAATTCCTGCAAAGTTCTACAGAATTTGATGTTGGCTGCAAAAGGGACATAGTATCTTTAAGATGATTCAAGAGCTACCATGCATAGATGCAATTAGATAACAGCGCAAAATAATCAAATTAAAAAATAACGGATTTTCTTTAAAAAGTAAATATCCATATCTCTGCTTCTTCTACAAAATTATATTTTAGAGGTAATTACCCAAAGATGTGGCCATACAAAAAAGGGACACCATGTAGCAGATGCCCAAGCGGCTTCCACGGTGGATGTTCTGAGAACTTGTGCAAAAGTAAGTTGTACATTTAAATATTATTCTGATTTTTTGCGTTAATTGAAGATTTTCTGATGTTATTTCTTCTTTTAGTTAATATAGACTTTCCATTCGTACCCAGTATAAACCTAGCCCCCCCCCCCCCACACACACACACACATACACATTAATTTGCAAATTGATTTGGAAGGACGTTAACTAATCAGAAATTTAAGGGGTTTTTTCAAACAAATTTTCGAAAGGTCGAGGGTCCCCCAATGCGTTTATGATCATGTCATACGCTTACTTTTTATCAAGACGTTGATGGTCCCATTTTCAACCAAGACATGAATCTACATTTGCCATTCTCTACCTAGGCGTTACTATCGGGTATCTGACATAGTTTAGCCGCTGGGCTATGACTGGGTTATTATCAGTGGCGGATCAAGGGAGGTTTCGGCGGTTTAAACCCCCCCCCCCCCCCCTTTGGCGGCCAAGTGGGAAAAAAGAAAAAAGGGGGGAAGAAGAAAATAAAAGGGGGGAGAAGAAAAAAGTAACACACTAAAACGGCGCGATTTTTGGAAAATCCTGGATCCGCCACTGGGTCAACCCCCCCCCCCCCCCCCCTTGGCAAAAAGCTAGATCCGCCCCTGATCATTATATATAATATAGAAGCGCCGGGGGGGTAATGAATATAAGTGCGATACAAGTGCATGTATCCGCCTACTATTTGTTCGTGTTTCAAACGTTTTCGTTGATTTTTTTGTTCTTCATTTATTTGAATATACCGTTTATTTTTCCAGGGGGTTAAGCTGATGGAAGAAGAAAAGGTTTGCCGCTCTCTCTCTCTCTCTCTCTCTCTCTCACACACACGATCATCCAAAGCATCAATACTGGGGAAAGATCACAACGAATGAACACTGATAAAAGATTATAATATTATAGTATCAAGCTATAGTTGGAATGGATGAATTATAAATGTTTTTTTTTTCTTTCTTTCGTTTAAGTTTTTTTCGGTTAAGTTCGAACTAATTCAATATATATATTTTGTTTTTTATCGTCCTTCTTTTAAGTCCGTAACAATATATCAGCATGAAAAAAATATTTCAAAATTTGCAAGGCATCATAATTATTATGGAAGATAAACTGCTTCAGTTATATTTACACTCTCAGTTTTACTCATTAAAGCGGAGGAAGGGAGTACCATGCTTAAAAATCACAAGTTATTGCAAAACACCTTAAATAATGATTTAATAAAGGCGTGCGCTTTGAAGTCAAAACATGAGTCATTCATGACAGATATGAGGAAAAAAACATCATTCGTTAGATACATGAAATTTCATTTGGTTAAAAAACAGTAAGGAAGGATGCCCTTGTTCAAAACAAAACTCCCCTTATTTCTGTTGATGAAATGATATTGCATTGTTGACAATAAATTCGAGCAGTCATGATCAGAAACACGTGCTTTATTTAGTTTTATTTGTGTAATTTACGATATGACTTTCTTCCTGCTTGTCCGTTGCGGGCAGTTGCCACGTAAAAAGGACTGCAACAAAAGAAAGAGAGTTGGCGGTGGTTGTAGTGGAGGTGGTGGTGGTTTTGTTGAAGGTGATGGTGATAGTGATGATCGAGGTGATGGTGACGGTCACAGTGGTGGTGGTGGTGGTTGTGTGAATAGTAGTTGTTATATATTATGTCGTACATAAGAACTGATGTGTACTGTGGGGGTACTGTGCAGTTTGGAAAGGATCAAAATAAACAGAAATTGACTCAATCATGCTGAAGATTTGTCTGCACACAAAAATGGGTATATGGACTACATACAAATGTTTGGTCTAAAGTTTTCAGCAATTTCTTGTTTAAATTTCGAATAATATGGCATATTAGATTTAGAAGCAATCCCTTTCAGGTGACGTTCTTCCAAACTGACATAAGAAACTGAGAAATCTCACAAATTCATTTCTATTCAAACTAGCGGGGAATAAACATGGTATTGGAATACTTTCTTTTATTGGATATGGTTTACATTTAAAACTTATCGTTGCTAGAATTTGATAATGTCTACGTATAAATATTTAAATGAAAACTATAGTTTAAGCTGTTTAAAGAATACTGAATAAACGAATAAATAAATGAATGAAACAAGAAATCAATCAATATACATATAAATAAGGAAAAAAGGAAAGAAATAAAGCAAGAGAAAAGGAAATGGATAAATAAATTAATAAAACGCACAAGTGTAAATGTGAACAATGGCCATAGCCTTCCGAGCGTCTTCCAAAGTGAGGGGGGCACCAACAAAAAAGGACACTTTCTGAGAAAGAGGAGGCACCTAAAGGGACACCTCAAAGAGAACATTCACAATATGTTGACATATTGGACAGTATATACTACCATTACAAGGATGACATCAATATTTGTTTTCTCTTTTAAAACGTGGTACAAGATACTGTTTAAGCAACATACTGTTCAGTTTGGTTTGATGAACTGCATATATTAATTTTTGTGCGAGCGAAGCAAGTGAGCAAAAGTTGTAAGATTTGTGAGGTCGTTGTGTGAAAAATTACATCTTATAAAGAGGGCAAAAAAAACATGATGAGTTTTAAGACAATCTAATGAAGAAAGACTGGAAGGTACTTTTATAAGCAACATGGTTATAACAACTATTAATGCAAGCGACCGTAGCGAGCGAGCTCTAGGAAAATCAATGAAAAGGGGGCTCTAAGTCGCTTTGATATAGGAGTGCATGTAATGTGGAAAAGAAAAGTAGGCACTTATCATAAGGGAAAAGGACAGTTATTAACAAAAGAAAGGGTGTACGTGTAAAAGTAAAAAGGGCAATTACCAGAGGTGAAAATTGGACACTTGTTGCACCTGAAAAGGGACACCCAACAGGGTGGGGGAAAAATTGTGAGAATGTGGCATCTGTTGGTGAAAAAAGGGCATCTATAAGATTTTAATATGGGCATTTATCAGATGTAAAAGGGGTTATTTGAAAAGGGGAAGGGCCAATAGGGGCTCATATAAAAAAAAATTTAAAAAAAAGGTAAAGGGGCGCTTATCCAAAGGAAAGATTGTACTTACTAGAAAGGAAAAGGGGCACGTGTCAAAATAAAAGGAGTACTTATCAGAGTTGAAAAGTTGCATTTAAGAGATAGTGAAGAGGTTTTTATTTCAAAGGGAAAGGGGGGCTTATCAATAGGAAAGGTGCTCTTATCAACAAGGAAAAGGGTGCGAATCGGAGTCAAAGTAAAAATGGGAAAAAATAAAAGGGAAGTTTCACGCACCTGAAAAGAGGCACTTACCAGAGATTAAAAAAAAAGGACATTCATGAGAATGGAAAAGGGGCATTTATTATAAAGGAAAAGGGGCACCTGTCAGATTTTGATAATGGCAATTATTGGGGTGAAAAGGGAGCACTTATCAAAAGTAAAGTGACATTTTTTAGAAAGGTAAAGGGATCAAAATAAAGGGGCACTTATCAGAGGTGAACAGGCCGGGCACTCATCAAAAAAGAAAAAGAGCACTTATCAGAAGGGGCAGGGGGCAATTATTACAAAGGAAAAGAGGCACTTGTCAAAGTAAACCACGTACCTGTCAGATTTGAAAAGGGGCAATTATCAGAGGTGAAGGGGGCACTTCTCATAGGTGGTAAGGGGTACTGAAAAGGGGCACTTACCAGAGATGAAAAAGTGTCCTTATGAGAATGGAAAAGGGACACTCACTGCAAAGGAAAAGGGGCACTTATCATATTCTGATAGGGGCATTTATCGGGTGTGAAAAGGGACATTTATGAGAAAGTGTAGGGGATCTTTTAAAAAATGAGGGGTGCACTTATCAAAAGAAAAAGGGGCACTTATAATAAGGGAAAGGGGCAGTTCTTACAAATGAAAGGGGGCACTTGTCCTATGTAAAAGGATCACTTTGGGGGCACATGAATATTGGCCCCTGCCCACCCCCCCCCCCCCTCCCCACCCTGGAGCGCCGTCCATGACAATGGCTATCCACCTCGACTGTATAAACATGCACTTAGAAGAACTAAGTTTTATAAACTTACACCCCATTCACAGTGGCCTCAAACACCGCGACAGCAGCGGGACTGTCCCGCTGCTGTCGCGGTGTTGTCTTCAGTGTGAAGGCTCGGACCCGTTATAAACTATCGCGGGATAACACCGCCTCGCGATAACGCCGCGACAAACTATCGCTAGGCTCGCCTAGCTACAGCAGCGGGACAGTCCCGCTGCTGTCGCGGTGTTTACTCAGTGTGAAGGCTCTCCGCTATAACACCGCGACAAACACGTGTGATTTGTTTACTTACCTATCACTGACCTCTTTTCTCCAGCAATGGGGAACATAAAGTGAAATAGAAATAAAGTAACCAGTGGATTCAAATTGATTTTTATTATTATGTAGATTTATAATTATCCAAATAAAAATATTTCACACTTCAAAAAATTAAAATATTCTGACTGGAAGCAATAAAAATGCTAGTTTTTTAAAAGTAATATGATCGAGGATACAAAAAGCAACTTGACATGTTTACCCTAAAACCCCGCGCTGAAGTATTTCCGGTCATATCGGGGTCACTCGCGGGTCATGAGCCATGCATACACGTGTTTGTTACGGAGGTAATAAAAATCACCCGCTGCAGCGTGAATGGGTACATGATATTTATCCCGCTGCTGCAGCGGGATAACTTTTCTACTGTGAATGCATTTGTAGCGGTTTTATGGCGGTGTCGCCGCTCCGCTACAACGCCGCTACAAATTTCAAAACCACTGTGAATGGGGTATAACTGATACAATTATACCCCATTCACAGTGGCCTCAAACACCGCGACAGCAGCGGGACTGTCCCGCTGCTGTCGCGGTGCTGTCTTCAGTGTGAAGGCTCGGACCCGTTATAAACTATCGCGGGATAACACCGCGTCGCGATAACGCCGCGACAAACTATCGCTAGGTTCGCCTAGCTACAGCAGCGGGACAGTCCCGCTGCTGTCGCGGTGTTTACTCAGTGTGAAGGCTCTCCGCTATAACACCGCGACAAACACGTGTGATTTGTTTACTTACCTATCACTGACCTCTTTTCTCCAGCAATGGGGAACATAAAGTGAAATAGAAATAAAGTAACCAGTGGATTCAAATCGATTTTATTATTATGTAGATATTATAATTATCCAAATAAAAATATTTCACACTTCAAAAAATTAAAATATTCTGACTGGAAGCAATAAAAATGCTAGTTTTTTAAAAAGTAATATGATCGAGGATACAAAAAGCAACTTGACATGTTTACCTTTTGCAAGCTTGCCTGAAGTATTTCCGGTCATATCGGGGTCACTCACGGGTCATGAGCCATCCATACACGTGTTTGTTACGGAGGTAATAAAAATCACCCGCTGCAGCGTGAATGGGTACATGATATTTATCCCGCTGCTGCAGCGGGATAACTTTTCTACTGTGAATGCATTTGTAGCGGTTTTATGGCGGTGTCGCCGCTCCGCTACAACGCCGCTACAAATTTCAAAACCACTGTGAATGGGGTATAACTGATACAATTATACCCCATTCACAGTGGCCTCAAACACCGCGACAGCAGCGGGACTGTCCCGCTGCTGTCGCGGTGCTGTCTTCAGTGTGAAGGCTCGGACCCGTTATAAACTATCGCGGGATAACACCGCGTCGCGATAACGCCGCGACAAACTATCGCTAGGTTCGCCTAGCTACAGCAGCGGGACAGTCCCGCTGCTGTCGCGGTGTTTACTCAGTGTGAAGGCTCTCCGCTATAACACCGCGACAAACACGTGTGATT